GCAAGGACGCGTGTCCAAACCACACCGAGCTCTCCTCCTGGTTCTGGGGGGGGGTTTGCCATCACCCCCCGGCTCAACGTTATCAACATGGGGGTTTAGGTAGGAACAGGACTGGGTGCGAAGCACCACGGCATCTCCACAATACCAGTCCCGGGGTAAGGTGGAATTCCGTCTCGATCTGAAGTTACTTAAGGAAACGAGAGCCTTTCCCCAGATTTCACCGAGCTTCGAAACCTGAAGGCATCTGAAATTCGAGGAGAAAGGTTCCGTGTTACGCCAGAACGACAAAAACGCTCCCAACTTGTCGCCCGGCGAGGAGCAGTCGGTAACCCCTGCGCCCAGCCTGGGAACCGCATCAGCCGACGCAGATTCTGTCGAAAAACTGGCTCGTTGAATGGGATTTTTTGCACTGGAATGACATTATTAACGCAGCCAGAGTGAACCGCCAAAGGAGAGACGCGATTTTTTGTTATTCCTGATTTCCTCACGGTATTTTTACGCGAGGGAGGGAGGTGGCACAAAGGGCTCTTGTTCCGCGTTTCGTTGGTCTCGGAAGGAAACGGCTCCCTGGACCTTCCCAAGCGGACTCACCAAGCAAACGCCGATTATCCTTCAAAAACAACGCCCCTCCCGCAACCCCCACAACCACGGTCCAGCCGAGGATTCCCATTCCCGCCAGCGCGACGGAGGAGAGGGACCCCGGAATAACCGGATCCCCCCCGGACCCTCTGATGTCTGCAGGGGAACGACACTGTTTCGCACGCTGCGTCTTTATTTCGGTGCGTTCCGCAGCCTGGACGTGGCAAATCATAGAATTATAGAAAGTTTTGGGTCAGAAGGGACCCCTAGAGATCACCTAATCACCTGATATCACCTAAATAAATAAAAATCACCTAAAATCGCACCTGAAATGAAGGGCTTAGAGTCATTCCCAGAATGGAAATATTTCCCAGAGTTTTTATTTCTTATTTTTTTTTTTCCCCTTCCTTTCTCCCTGCTGTTTGGCTTTCCGGGTGCCCCCGGGGTCCAGGCGGGTGGCAGCAGGTGGGACGTGGCCCCCCCCGGGGTCATCCCGGCTGCCATCGCTGAGCTCCGGGAGCGTCTCCGCGGCCCGACGCGGTGCCGGGAAACGCAGGGATGGCAGCCCCGGCGGGGTGATTCACCGGAGCGAACGCGAAGCCAAGCACGAGACGGGCCAACAGGAGGGACGAAACGCAGCGCTGGCTACGTCCTCCTCCGGAAACGTTTCCCCACAATAAACCGCGTCGCGCCTGGCGTTCAGAGGGAGAAGCACGCACGCTTTCGTAGCAGAAGTTTTCGAAATTTTAGCAACTGACTCTTTCACCGTTGCTTCAGGATTGCTAAGAAAAGGGGAAAAAAACCCAGCAGCAAGGCGTTTCGAGATCACAGAATCACAGACTGGTGGGGGTTGGCAGGGACCTCTGTGGGTCACCCAGTCCAACCCTCCTGCCCAAGCAGGGTCACCCAGAGCAGGCTGCACAGCACCGCGGCCAGGCGGGGCTGGAAT